AGGCCTTTTCCATCCTTACATTGAAGGCAGTATAACTTTGTTTGTTTATGGGAAGTAAGTTGGACCATAAAACAGTGGCGGTTTTTTCAGTTGATAACCGGATGGATTTTATATATTTATAAAATAAATCATTTCAGGTGAAAATGTAATCTGTTAAAATAGTTCCTACAGGAAATCTGATTTATTATTAATGAATATGGAAATGGAGCCAGTTTTTCTACCACCTACTAGATTTTTATTTATGTATGGCTCTATAATAAATAATAATCTAGTAGGAGGTAGAAAAAATGGCTTCATTTCCATGATCATTAATAAATAATTAATCGAATTTTCTGTAGAAATTATTTGAACACAACTTACTTCAAATCTAAACAAACTCTCCATAACCTCTCATTACCCCCCACCTCCTTTTAAGTTGTACAGAAAAGGATAGAACGATACCCGTTTCAAAACAAATGTATTGTATTGGTATAGGCACCGTACAGTCATGGCAACTCTGTCTTATTACTCTGAGGGGTACTCAGACTGTGAGGAGAGGATAATTTTTCAATAATTCCTGAGTCATAATGCATTTGTCAAACTGTCAAATATTGAAATAATTCTCTGATCAAATGCGCTTGTGTAAGGAAGCAACGCCAGAAGAAGAAGAAGAAGAAGGTGAAATATTTCAATATTTCTGAGGTGTCAATTAAAAGTTATTTTTTATATACGAGTACGTATATTTACTAGTAAAAAACAATTCAAATAAAACTTGGGAGGAGTAAAAGTGATAAATTTACTTTTGAGTTATGAGTTTTCATCAGTTATGATATGTTGAATATGAATATATTTCAACCAGTTTTCCAGAATTTTTAAAATAACTGTAAGGCGATTCAATAATATTTCGATGTAGTACCCATTAATAATAATTATATTTTTATAGACATTGACAATGGATCCTGAAGCATCCAATGCCGACATCTGTAGGGTGTGCAGATCTGAGGGAGGACCAGACAGACCACTCTTCCATCCCTGCATATGCACAGGAAGCATCAAGTGGATTCATCAGGAGTGCCTTGTGCAGTGGATGAGATACTCGAGAAAAGAAATTTGCGAACTTTGTGGTTATAGGTTTTCATTTACTCCCATTTACTCTCCTGACATGCCGAGAAGGCTGCCTTTGAAAGATTTGGCTGCCGGATTGTTATCATCTGTGGCAACTGCCGTTAAATATTGGTTCCATTACACTTTAGTTGGAACAGCATGGTTGGGAATAGTACCAATAACTGCATGTAGAATATACAGGTAACTCTTCACAAACAAAAGTTCTGTAGAGTTTTTGATATAATTAATGGCAAATGAAAATTATGTTGCTGAATTTTAAAAATTTCACTGATCTTTTGTTCTAGAAGAGTATGTGTTCATAATTTGAAAAAATAATGAAATATGCAAATCTTAGAAACTACTACAGAGAAAACCAGAATATTTTCATTGACTATAATGATATTCATAATGTTGACTCAAAACATGGAATAAAAATTGCAAAAATAACTAATGAACATAAAATCTTTAACAAAAAGAAAAACTAAGGATATTTCACTGATTATCGAGCAATAACTGGTGATTTAATCAAATAAGCTAATGAATGTCTTTATATACTGTCATCGATGACATGTGCAGAATAAACTCATTCTTGACAAGTTGTTATTTTATGAATGAATTGAGTGTTTCATCTTATAATGTTATCCAAAATTGGTGCTCAAGAGGCAATAAGGCAAATGTCATTGCCATTGGATGTCAACTAGTGAGGATGACAGTGTTCCATGTGAGTGAAGTTTTACCTCTTTTATTTACTATATTGTGGAGCTGGGTTTATTGGGTCGAGTGTGAATAGGTGTGAGCCACAATAAACCCTTACAGGTTGCGTTGGAGGGTCGAATAGATCCACTCACTTTAGACCTAACCTAACCTATATTGTGAAGCAATCCATAACAAATGTTTGGAATACAAACTAAATAGAGAAAAGTGTTTTTTTTTTGTATAATTCAGTGTTCACATAAAAGTATTTGTTTCAAACATATTTTTCTTTTGTGTAATTTAATGTTTCCAGTTTGTGTTTGAAAGTTATTTTTTGCATGATCTACACATATTTTTCGAGTTAGTTTTTTGAAATTGATTGATATACATATACATTGTCCTATTTGAAGTTCTTGATTGGTATTCATTTCTGGTTAAACCAGAATAGGTTTCAATTATCTTTTCATCAGAAATATTATGCAACTGTACCTTTAGTTCGAATTTAAAGTTTCTTATCTTATGTGCAATCCTCTTTTGGGAGTTTAAAGAAAAAGATCAGATTCCAATGACAAGCATGCTTCTTGCTGATTTTTGAGTATTTAACCTATCACAATATGACAAATAAACGAAGCTAAATCAACAAAAAATCTGCTAAAATGTTATAAAAGACAAACTGAAAATATTCTTCTAACGAAATTTTTTGTGGAGGACTGATTATTTTATAGTGTTTTTTT